TTAATGACATAATTTTCATTTTTGGGTGAACTAACCCTTTAATGTGAACAATTCATCCATGCTACTTTTTTTCATTTTTGTTAACTCCTAATTCTTAATTAAAATGTCATAACTTGACATTCCTGTGAAATGACAGACTTGTTTGTTTTGACATATGCCAGGCTTCTTCAAAAATGTAATCATCTTAAACTCTGTTGCTTTCTTACAGTCAACTGCAAGCTCACATTCACATCTGCCAGATCTGATCAACAACCAATGGATAGCAAACAAATCCCCACTCCACATTTTTTTTCTTCTTAGATAATCTGTTTTGCTCAATTGTACATCATGGAAGAAGAGATCTGTATGATTAACCAGAGAACCAGTAGCGGTGCATTAATAGTCAAATTAAAAGCACACAGCACCACCTGTGTGTGTAGAGATGCAATGCCAAGAGACAATACTGGCAAATTAATTATTGTAGGATTTACAAATACCATTACAGGTCACAGATATTTCTAAAATGTAATACTTATTAAATTGACATTCTCAAGTCATCCCTTACTAAATGAAACATTAAAAATATAAAACATGGATTACAATATAATATATTTAATATGAACATATTTGTTATTTGTACCTAAAAATGCTGAATGTAAACATTTCCACCATTCTCAAGGTTGTTTATTGTTTAAACAATGTAGTCATGTGCTCATAAGCAGATGACAATGATCAATCCAAAGAAGAACCAACTGACTGTCACAACAGATCATGCTCTAACACACACACAAACTATTAATGCCACTGGGATTTTCCACAATTACTTAACTGAGCCATATGAAAAGTCACTATACACATTGTGCCTAAATACGGTAATTTTTAAAGACCTGCAAGAAATTAGTTTAAACTTAAGGCCCAAAAGCTGTTTCACATTGGTGTCAACCCCCTGAGCCACTAATTACCTGTTGCATGTACTGTAGCTGCTGTGCAGTGACTTGCTGTTGATGGTGTATATTGTGCTGCTGCTGTTGCTGCTGTTGTTGTTGTTGTTGATGATGATGTAGCTGTTGCAGTCGAAGGTCTCCAGGCTGCAGCTGCTGTAACACTCTGTTCTGCTGACTGCTGTTCGGCATCTGCGCAGCCGACTGCTGTCCGTTTCCAGAAGCTGAGACAAGCACACATATACAGTCAAAGCTAATGTCTCCAAAGGGCAAAAAAAGAACACAGACCATATTTAAGAAAATATATATATAATAATGCTCACCTTTCTGGCCGTTGCTAACCGTACCTGAGGAGACAGTCATTTTCACAGGAGTTACAGAGCTGGGCAAAGGCAAAACATTACTATTTGCAGCTTTGGGTCTTTGCCTGGGTGCGATTGATGTTTCTGTTGGTCCTACTGAATCTGTTATTCTAATGAAAAAAAGAAACAAGGTGAAAACAGGCTACTTAAATGGTTAGTTGGATTCAAACAATCTGAAAGTCACATACAAAACTCTAAAATGCTACCTGGCTTTTGTCAGGCTCTTTTTAGCAGCAATATCACTAGCA